CACACATTTCTCCTTCCTGTGCCATTCCCCCACATGCTCCTTGATTTTGCAGGGTGTTTTTGAGAATTCTCAAAAACACCCTGCAAAATCAAGGACTGCACGCATTTCTCCTTCCTGTGCCGTTCCCCCACATGCTCCCCTCGCCCGCACTGCCCTCCAAAGCCTGTGTTTCTCCATCCACCCGCCCCAGGCGGATATCCCTTTCGCCCCACACATTACTCCTACTTTGGCCTTTGCACATCCCACTAGGTGGGTAACGCCCCAGGCGCTGGCCAGAGAAGCGTGCCCCAACAACGGTGGAGTAATTTTTTAGAATTATAATAAATGGCCCCACTGGCCACAGCACAGCAGCATGTTCCAACAACTCCTGCCAGTGCCAGGTGCAAGTGCTGTTGTTGGAGCATGCCACAGCACAGCGTGATTTGCAACACTTCACGTGTCATTCGCCCGCTTGCCTCCCTCCCCTCACCCCCAGACTCTAGCCACAGTCGCTTTGCTCCAACGGCACGCTCCTGCAGGTGCAAGTGCCTGAGGCCGTGCTGAATGACCTCAAGAACGCCTCAGTTCTCCTTCCATTCCCTTCTGTCTTACCTCCAGATACTAGCCACAGACGGGGGCCAAGTGCGGTCACACCCGGCATCATTTTAGGCTAGCCACAGACGCTTGTTCCAACAGCGCGTGCGTCGCAAAGAGCACCCCTAACGGCACGCACCTGCAGGTGCAAGTGCCAGAGGCCGTGCTGAATGGCCTCAAGAACGCCTCGTCTGCCTCTTGCCACGCTCCATTCCCTCCCCAAAACCCCGCCAGACACTAGCCGCAGCAGCATGCTCCAACAGCACGTGCCACATACAGCATCCCAATGGCACGCATCTGGAGGTGCAAGTGCCAGAGGCCGTGCTGAATGACCTCAAGAACGCCTCGTCCGCCCTGAAACTCCTCTACTCCACCGTGCCCGCCCTGCTTCAGATCGCCAACTGCACCTACGTCAAGCAGATTTGTGAGGTATGGCTAGACTTTTCTCGTATGTTCTACCTTTTTGAGTTGACTCGAAACAAGCGTCTATCTTCTTGACACGTCTCACGCATTCAACCTTCTTGAGCTGACTTGACTCGTATGTATTCCGCCGGCATCTCCTTCTCTCTCCTGCCATCCAGTACGCCTCTGGGCTAGCGCAGGGCATGGAGCGGGATTTCAGCATGCTGTGGTGGAGTCTATTTTTGAGGCGCCTCAAAAATGCTGTGGTGGGGTGGGGTGGGGTGGGGTGGGGATACATCATCGTGTCCATCGCATCCATGCCAGCTGCTCTCGCCCTCCCAAACGTTACCCTCTCCTCCTTCTATCTCCCTCCCCCCTCCCCCCCCCCTTCCCCCCCCCGCCCTCAGTACGCCTCTGGGCTAGCGCAACACATGGAGACCGACTTAGCATGCTGTGGTGGGGCTTTGTCATCATATCCATCGCATCCATGCTCTTCGCACTCGCCCTCCCCAATTCCATCCCTCCTCTCCCTGGCCCCCCTCCTTCCCCCCGCCCTCCCCCCCCACCGCCCTCAGTACGCCTCTGGGCTAGTGCAGGACATAGAGATGGATTTCAACAGGCTGTGGTGGGGTTCTCAACCCTCTCTTTGTGGCTCCCTTCCTCTTCCCCCGGCCCTCTTTCGCCAGTACGCCTCTGGGCTAGTGCAGGACATGGAGCGGGACTTCAACATGCAGTGGTGGGGCTGTCAACCCTCTCTTTGTGGCTCCCTTCCTCTTTTCCCCCCCCCTCCCCCTCCCCCCCCCCTCTTCTTTCTTCAGTATGCCTCTGGGCTAGCGCAGGACATGGAGCGGGACTTCAACATGCTGTGGTGGGGCTTCATCGTCGTGTCCATCGCATCCATGCTCTTCGCGCTCGCCCTCCCCATCTACATCTTCCGCTGCTCCCACCCGCTCAACCCACCTCACTATCCTCTCTCCGGCTCTTCCCACAGCCTTGCTGATGATGATGGTAACGTGCCTGGTGCAGACGATGATGCGCCTCGTGCTGCTGGTGCACTCTTTCGAATGATTGATGTGAAGCTTGACGGAGATAGCATGGAAAATTTATCCCGCTCCACTGAGCAACAGGATTCTGCTTTTGATACGAGTGGCTCGTCCTAATGGAGAAGAGCAGTAATAATATGGTTCCGAGGAAATGGGAGAGGTGCATTGCTGTGCTTGCTTTCAGTACATTTGGAGAATATGGCACTGCATAGGATGTATGTATGTATACCTAAATATATGTATATGTGTGCATGAATGTTCACTTATTGATGACGTGTGACTTTTGCATCAAGTTATGACTCATTTGGTGTCCATCAAACCAGAGTGTACCTACAACACTAAGCAAGTCCCAGGAGTACGTCCCACATGAATCGTTTGCGGTGGTGTACGGTGAAGAACAATTGAAAACGGTATTCCCGCTTCATCGTTTTAAACCTTAAAGCACCGCTTTGGACCTGTACGAGGTGTCAGGGAGATGCACCCTCGGGTCACGCGCTCAGGTGAAAGCTACCACTACGCAAGCACTTGAGCTGAACATGCATGCTCCAGTCGAAAGCGATTCTGAAGTACAGTAACGTAGAAACGCGTGGGTACTGCCTGCCGAATCACACGTCACAGGACTTTCTGTGCCAAACGCACCAAACGAAAACCTGGCGTGTAAGTCAGGTTCCCAATTTCTGGTAGATTCTGTTTCGGATTTTGGTTTGGGGCACTGTAGCGTACGACTCTTTGCGACACACGCTGAGCCGCTGCTTTTTTTTTTCAGCCCCCGTCATTTTTGGTATAGTTGAGTTTTCGCCTATTTCCTGCAATTTCGACCTTGTCCATGGAAGTAAGGCGGATGTCCATGAAAGTAGGGACAGAGTCCACGGGAGAAGCGAAAGGTTGATGCGGTGTCCGTGAAAGTAGGGGCTGTCCACGAAAGTATGAAAATATTTGTGGGCAGTCCGCGGCAGTAATTCTCCCGATTACCGACTCTTCCGACCCGGTAATCCACGCATGGTCGAACAGCCACGAACAATGCAAATACGCGTCGGGGTAAAGTGATCCTAACTGGCTGCATGCTACGCTGTCGGGGCTTCCAAGACATAAGCTCGAGGTTGGGAAACCCAAAACAACGTCTGTATGGTTCCGGTGCCTTACTGGCTCTCGTGGCGTCTTGTCGTGTCCAGTCTACTAAATATCGTTACTCGGGACGCAAGCACGCGACGGCGTCTGATCGGATTGCTACTGGGAAGCAGTTCACGTAAATTCAAGCCACATTTATGGCCGACTTTCCTAACAACATTCTTTCGTCGATTCTGTCCAAAGTCTCGCTCAACGACACCTTTGACCACGCGCTGGTGTGCAGACGATGGCTCTCCGTCGTGTCACAAATTCAGAAGTCCGTCCGGGTCAAGCAGAACCGCGAGCTTCGGGGATCCACGTTATTGCGGCCCTTATCCCACCTATCCGGAGTGACATCTGTTTCGCTTGACTATGGAGCCGTGTCCTTCATCGATGAAACATTCTTTGCTGAATTCGCTGCCTTCTGCCCGCGAATTTCCCAGCTGATGCTTGGTGGAACTCACTACCTGACGCCCTCTGTAAAAAAGCTGGAGTGTCCGAGCTGCCTAACTGGTTCTTTTCTGATGCAGTGAGACTTGAAAGGCTCCCAGCATCCATCGCGCTGCTCTCGTCGCTTCGGGTCCTGCATCTAACGTCGTTCAGTCTCAAAGCCCTCCCGGATGCTCTCGGCACTCTCTCCTCTCTTGAGGAGCTCTTCCTCCGCTATCCTGCTCTGAAGCATCTTCCTGGCTCCGTTTGCAATCTCCCACACCTTTCAGATCTGTCGCTTGTCCAGTGCCGATCCATAATGGCTGGAGATGCTGCCAAAATTGACCGCCCTGCAACGGCTGGTTCTCTGCACAGGAAGCGCAATCAGAATCCCCGACTCTTTTTTCACCCATCCAACCATCAGGCATCTGATTCTGCATAACTGGGATGCAGGCAACCTCGATGAGGTCGATGAGGGACCGGGAACAAAGATTGACGAGCAGACTGGTTTGGAAGGAGGGGAAACATCTGGTCCTGGCGAGGATCATGCAGGAACGTGTGGGCTGCCTGACACTTCGGAGGAGCAAACACCATCAGTAGTCACTGCAGCAGCCGATGAGACAGCATCTATTTTGACGACGCTTACCATTCCCCAGTCTCCATCCTCTACAGCCATCGGATGTGCACTTCGGCACCTAGACATTCTTGACTGTGCCTCTTTCCCCCTGGCCTTCGTCTCCAAGTAAATTTCCGAATTCCTTACCAGCAGTGCTCTGCTCCCTATCAGGTCTCACCCACCTCTCAGCAGACGGTCTTGGTGGTCCTGCTGCCGATGTCTTGCCTCGAGGCTTCACCCGGCTCTCCCACCTGCAATCGCTCTCTCTCGGCGGCTGCATCACCAGTTTGAGCATGCTAGTGTCTCGGCTTCCTTCATTCGCTTGCCATTCGGAGGTACTGCCCCACGTTCAGGGGCTACAAGTGCACGGACGAGGACCATTTCCTCATTGGCTTCGTCAGCTTCAGCTTTGGAGAACCTGTCTGCAGGTATTGCAATGGTTGTAAGATGGAAGGGGATCTGCCAAGTGACTTCTGCCAGCTTACTGCTCTCAAACAGCTTGGTGTAGACAGCCAGCAGATTCTCCCTCCTGGTCACACCGAGCAGTAACTTTTCCCTGCTTGGGGCAGCATTTGTCAGCCCGTCATCTGAAGCTGGTGATAGGAGGATCACTTGAGCCCTGCTACCATACAGTCAAATCTTGCCTTGATAGCCTACTACTGGTATCAGAAGCATACGGTATGCTGCAGACTCTTCAATCTCTCCCAGTGGTGCAAGCACGGAGTTTTTTTTTGCTCTGCTCTGGAATCTCATGTGCTACTACCACTGTAGGATAATGCCTAGACAAACTGTGCTGCTCACAAGAATTGTTGTGTTGGAAGTGCTGAAACTCCTTGTTTGATTAATGCCTGACAAACTGATGTCCTATCTGCTCAAACAGACCAAGTCTGTTGGATCTTAGGGAAAATCGCAGCAGACAAACTTGAAGTATACCTGCATGCTAGGAACACATGTTCATTCCTCTTGAGTGCACACATTGCCTCATAACTTTTTCTCAAGCCGCTTTGCACTCGCATACTACCCGAAAAGTCTCCTCTACCTCCTCTCTTCTTCCTCATCTGCTCCTCTTCACGCACCTTCCTCCTCAATTCCCCCCTAGAATAGAACCCCCCCTGTGTTGCCACATACTCAGCTTCTTCTGCCGTGCTCTCTCCCCAGCACCTAGTTTCGGTGTGGAAACCGCTCGGATTTTACAATGATGCTGTGGTGCTTGTGAGCGGATTGCACCCACTGGGGCAGAGACTGCTCTAAATCTAGAACCCCCCATGGGTTGCCACATGCTCCACCTCTTCTGCTGTACTTTCTCTCCCCAGCACCTCATTACGATGTGGAAACCGCCCAAACTTGACAATGATGTCGCGGTGCTTGTGAGCGAACTGCACCCACTGGGCCAGAGACTCTTTGAGAGGGCCTTCGGGTGCTTCGGCCACCGACTGCAAAAACAGCTGCACACAGAGGTCCTGATCGGGCAAATCTGGTGGGAGGGAATGAGGGGGGGATGCAAACTGTTTGAGAAAGACAGAGACTCCTTGAGCGAGCCTTTGGGTGCGTCTGCCACTGACTGCAAAAACAGCCGCACACAGAGGTCCTGATCGGGCAAATCTGGTGGAGGGGGAAAGAGTGCGGGACGCCAACCAACAGTTTGAGAGGGACAGAGACCACTCGAGCTGGCCCTTCTGGCGCTTCCTGTACCGATGGCAACAGCAGCTGCCCACACACATCTGGCAGGGCTGGTGGGAAGGAATGAGTGGGAGCGACCAACCAACCGTTTGAGAGCAAGTGGATACTTGAGCAGGCTCTTTGATTCTTCTTCCGTTACTGACTGCAAAAACAGCTTCACACAGAGGTCCTGATCTGGCTGGTCTTGTAGTGGGAAGGAAAGATTGGGGGAGGTAAAGAGTGGGGGAGGAAAGAGTGGGGGAGGTAAAGAGTGGGGAGGTAAAGAGTGGGGGAGGTAAAGCACTGAAAGCGGGGGCAAGCACTGAAAGAGGGGGGTGGAAATTGAAAGACAGGGCTGGGAGCTGGGCAGATTTGATTGCTTCTATGCCCAACTCTTGAATGATTGAATATGTCCTGATGAATGCGCCTCAAGAAGCAATGTGTTCATAATGGCTGATGAAACGGCTGATGAAATGGCTGATGAAATGGCTTATGAAATGGCGTATGAAATGGCATTTGTAGAAATTCTGAGTCCTGTGTGGAATTTACAGAGGGCATTCAGGACTGTCTCACCTTCTGAGTGCATGAAGGGCATGTAGAAAAAGGATCGAATGCGGAGGTGAAATTGCGTGTTGAACCCCTTGGCTATGGCCCTGCATTCAACATAATGGTCCACCAGCTTGTAGTGAGGATACAAAACTGCTAAACTGGAGAGACAACAAGTGAGGGATGAGCAACGAATGCTATAGAATGTGAGTGCGTCAGCAAAAATTCACTTGCTAGCAAAAAAAAAAAAAAAAAAAAAAATTTAAGGCATTGAGGAACACGTGGAATAATCAGGGAAAGTTTTCCAGCCGCCCCAATTCAGAGCGACAGTGCAACTGTGGAGAGTCTTTTGTAACTGCGGGAATAAGTGTGCGTTCAAAAGGATACCTTTTCGCAACATCACGAGCCAACACGTCCTGTAGGAGGGCGGATAAGAAGTATGGGAAGGAAGGATATACAGTGACGGAAAGCCAAAGCGTACAATATCTTCCCTTATTTTCGAGCCAAAGCGTCCCTTATTTTTGAGACAACACAAGAGTAAAGGACGAAACTTGATGGGAGGAGGGACGGAGGGCATGTAGAATGAAGATCACATCAGCTGTTGGCGAAAAGAATGTCAGACAGTTGCTTGAAACTGCAAAAGAAGCGACTGCAGCCAGATGGCATGAAAGCGATGAGGACAACGAGGATGATGACGATGACGACGACATCGCGACGATGGCGGTGACTTTTATTGGAATGAAGCTGAGGGGCTGAGCTCCGGTATGGCAGTAGGTAATGGCAGTAGGCAGTGGCAGTAGGTATTGGCAGTAAGCAGTGGCAGTAGGTAGTGGCTCCCATCGGCCTTGGTCGCGATGCCACGATCTCTGCCTCGCAGATGTAGTGGTGAACATGCATCTTTACCTCACCTGTCGTCACACCACATGTGGTGTGGGCTGAGAATTGATGGAGCCGCACCCGCATGCAAGGGGGGCCATGCGGTGACCCCCGGACAATGATTGCAACGACGTGGACAGTGACGTCAGCAGTGCTCACTCAGAACTCACCTGGGCGAAGGAGTCAGGCGATCCCCTGAAGCTGTTCCTCGTGAACTGGTCCAGCAGCACGACCAATGCCAGCGCGCCACGTGGCGTGTCTTCCCAGCCTGCCAGCTGGCCCGATGCAGCGAGCGGGATGAGGGGAGCGAATCTGGCGCTAATGAAGGCGTCCACGTCAGCATCCTTGCGGAACCAGAGAGGCTGCTTCGCTGCCACATCATCGTCTGCCGGGGGTGGGCCCTGCAAGAACGACGACAGGGTAGGAACCGCAGGGCATGATTGGCTGGAAGGGTAGGGGGGAAGGGTAGGGGGAAGGGTAGGGGGGGAGGGTAGGGGAGGGTAGGGGAGGGTAGGGGGAAAAGCTTACCTAGGAGCCAAGCTAGTTGCCTATCCAACTCTCACCGCATAGCCAGGCGCCATGAAGTCAATTGCCCTTCCTCACCGCATAGCCAGGCGCCATGAAGTCGCCAAACCAGTACACGAGAATCTCGTCAGCCGCCTTGTCCACGTCAGCAGGCGTCACACTGATGCTCGCTGTGACAGGCCCGCCGTCGGAAGCCATGGCTGCTGCTGCTGCTGCTGTTGCGATGAAACAGTGGCGAGAAACAGCCGGGTCGAAACAGCGGCGAGAAACTGCTGGGTCGAAATAAGAACGCCTCCTCACGATGACGCTGTTGCAGCAGCAGCGGCAAATGCGGCTGCTGTTGTAGCTGTCAGCAGGGCTGGTAACAATGTAACTGCTAGCGGAGCTGGTCCTTGACGCTACACCTGAGCTGCCTAAAAGTGACCTGGTCGCGAAAAGTGCCTTTCTTGTTTGAGCCAAAGGCACCCGAGGCCTCTCGATGCCAGGTCCACTTGACGAATCGAGGCGCGGGAAGCGGAATCGCGAGCGTGGGAGACCTATTTCGATCGCCAAGGCGTGACGAGCTCTAGAGAATAAAGGGGCCTCGAGTCTGAAGGCGAGCATCGGGACAGAGCAGCTCGCTCTTTCGGATGCACAGATGCTTTGCTGTCCTCCTGGCGTGAGCAGGCTTTCAGAATCAGCAAATATACTCTGCTACTAGTAGAGATGAAATTTTACCCCCCAAGAAAAAGAACGTCGCGGAGGTGGGAAAAGCCAGCGAGCAGGAGGGTCTCACAGAACCAAACTGTAACTGCTCTCCACCGTTCCAGGAACGCAAGGCACCGTACTGTAGCGCTTTCGTCACCTCCCCTTCTTTTCCTGATTCATGTCGAATATGTGAACACGAGAAAATCGATGGTCCCCCCCGAACCCCGATGCGATCGCATTTGTATTACTTTTAGGAATCGGGTTCACTTGCTAGGTCTAGAACAGTAGCATTCTTCCCAACATACCGAATGGCACAGTATTTTCTGGTTGGGCTTGCATGAAACATCATTGAACTACAAACTAGGGATGACACATCCAAGGGTAAGGATATCCTAGTTTGCCAACAAGCCAACCAGCAAGAATGGGCATTTCTTGCCTCAACTACACAGCAGATTTGCCAATGCGGTCGAACGCACTGATGCCAGCCACCCGCCCATACACAACACACTCTAGAAGGGAGTTTCCACCCAGACGGTTAGCTCCATGCAGCCCACCTGTAAAACAGTGATGAACCCAAGGGATCAACACAAATGAGGGGTCACCAGGGAGAAGCACTATAATCAAGAAGATAGCGAACAACAGGGTTCAACTCGTGTGACACTCGTCACATCCGTATGTCATGTTTGCCCGACTATCAATCAACCATCTCACCTGCACCAAAGCCTTGCTGTCTCACCTGTCATCTCGCACGCACCAAAGAGCCCGAGGAATGGGGGAATCGTCTTCCTTGAGGGTTTGGATTCGACGCCTAAGCGTTTGAGGCACGCCTTCCATCTACACCTCATTCAATTCAGCTCACCGGTGACCTCGCCCGCACCAAAGGTCCAGGAATGGGAGAGCCATCGTCCTGGAGGGTTTCTAATCGATGCCTAAGCGTTTGAGGCACACCTACCATCTACACCTCTGACCTCGCCGGCACTGAAGAGGCCAGGAATGGGAGAGCCATCCTCCTTGAGGATGCCAGTTTGCAGACGCCCATACATCCCACCTTCAACCCATTCGTCTCTTGCCATCTCACCTGTGACCTCGCCAGCGCCAAAGAGCCCAGGAATGGGGGAGCCATCCTCCTTGAGGATGTGGCCACTGGTGTCGAACTTGAGCCCGCCCATGCAGTAGTGCAGCGAGGGCGTGATGATGGCCACGTACACTGGCTCGGAAGAACTGGTGCGGTGGGAGTAGCAGTTGGAAGAGGAGAGGGAGGAAGGTGAGTCGACAGCACAGGACAGCATTGGCAGCCCAACCATTATTCAAAGGAGATTCAAGTCAGCCAGCAGTCAATTGAAGAGCACGGGGAAAACGGTCTGGAGGTGGCATAAAAATACTCAAACAGGCACCTTGTTGAAAAGGTGGGAGTCTGGCAGGTGGCACTCACTTGAAGAGCACGGGGAAAACGGTCTTGCCGAAGGGGTCGCCCTTCTCAGCGTCATGCCGGCCATATGAGTCCAGAGCTGCCTTTACGTTCGCTGCGGGCAGCTTCGTGCCCTCGCTCAGCGCCTCCACGGTGTCAAACTGAGTCATTCAATACGTGGGATGAAAGGATCACGAAGAAAAAGGTGGGAGAGTATAGGGGACTTAGTCCGTCCAGAGCAGCTTTCACATTCGCTGCGGGCAGCTTGGTGCCCTCGCTCAGCACCTCCACGCTGTCGGCCGGAGTCGTTAAATATGGGGGACGAAGGGATCAAGGAGAAAACGGAGGGAGAGTGTAGGGGACTTAGTCCAGAGCAGCTGTCGCTTCGCTGCTGGCAGCATCGTGCCCTCACGCAGAGCCTCCACGATGTCAAACTGTTGATGGGTGGTGCTGGGGGGGGGGAGAGGGAGGGGGGGGAGGAGGAAGGGGGGGAAGGGGTTCATGGAGAGGAATGGAATGGGGGGAAAAACAGGAAGGCTAAGGAGAATGGGGGATTTAGGTCCTGAGGCAAAATCACACTGGCTGCTGGCAGCTGGTGCCCTTGCTCCATGCCTCCATCTTGTCACACTGTTGATGAATGTGAACGCGGAAGGACGAAAGGGAACTCCACTGTGTATGCCCTCCCATCTCGCCCTGCCAACTCGCCCCCCCCCCCCCAATCTCACCCCCCCATCTCGCATTCCTGAAAAGCCTCTTGCCAATGCAAAAGTGCCACAGCAGCAGGTCAAAACGGCTAATTGAGGTACGACACTGCTGCCATGACCGGGCTTTCCTTCTCAACCTGTATTCTCTCAACACTCTGCACGCCCTCCCTAGCCCTCCCTGGCCCTCCCTGACCCTCCCATCCCCCCTTCTAAATGAGCCCCTTGCTGGTGTAGAAACTGGCCGACAGCAGGTCAATTTTTGCTGATTAATCGCCTCCTGGATTCAATCATCTTCCAAATGTCCCTCCCTCCTCACCTTCCTAATGAGTCCCTTGCCAATGTACATGTAGAACTGGCACGACAGCGGGTCGAGCTTGTTGATGGCCTCCTGCCTTCATTCGTCTGTGCCTGTGAATTCCCTACTATCATCCCACCCGTACTCGCATTTCCCAAGCTTCTCTCCCTCCTCACCTTCCGGATGAGCCCCTTGCCGATGTAGAACTGGCACGACAGCGGGTCGAACTTGTTGATCGCCTCCTGGCTCAGAATGAGGTACGATACAGCAGGCATGTCCGCCCCGCCAGCTGGTGCGCCGGGGACCTCGGGGAGGGGTCCGCAGTACTTCAGAATCGCCTCCACCACCTGATGGGGGGAGAGAGAAGGTGAAAGGTGGATGTGCGAACTTAGAGCTGCGAAACAAACCAAGTTCATTCAACAGTGTGAACCACCCAGACCACAAGCACTCCCGGCCCGCCCTGCCCCAGCTCACACCGCATTCAACCACTGCTCTCATCACATCCCCTCTCCCAAACCACCCCTCTCCCCCCCCCAATTATCCTCGCCGTGACCCCTCACCGTCGCCCTGCCCCAACTCTCACCCAACCCCCCTTCCCCATGCCACCGCCCTCAACAAGCCCCTCTCCCGGCCATGTCCCAACGCTCACTGCGTCTCTGGTGGTGAGCTCGTTGACGAACCGGTCGCCCTTCTCGTTGAGAAGAATCCCACCGCATCCCCTCAGCGCCTCCGGAGCCAGGAACTTGACGGGGTTGCGGGGGTCCTTGGGGTCCACGTACCCCGTGGGGTGCAGCTGCACCTGATCCATGTGGATCAGCCCCGCCCCCGCCGCCACGCCCAGCCGCACGCCGTCGCCCGTGGCGAAGGGCCCGTTGGTGGTGGCGAGGTTGCGCAGCTTGGGCGTGTGGGTGTCCAGCAGCCCGCCCTCCGCCTTGTCCGCGGAGTAACCGCCGGTCGCGAGGATGACTGCTGATGCCTTCACCTCGGTCTCCTCCTTGGCGCCCTGGGGGGGAAGGAGGGGAGCAGAGGCGTCGGGCAAAGGGACGGGGGGCAGAGGAGTGAGGGGTACGGAAAAGGCTAGGGTGATGAGACGCCCAGCCTCACACTGTCGTGCGTGGCAAAGGGAACGTTCGTAGATGCACGGATGCTGGGGGGGGGGGCGGGGGGGGGAGGGGGAGGAAAACAAGGTGATTCCTGGATGGTATACATTTTCTCTTGCAAAATGGCGGGTTGTCATGTTTTGTGCTACGAGTTACAAAGGTCCATCTCTCAACAACAGCCCATCCGCCCATCGGCCATAAAATCTGTCAGCCTGTCAGATGTGTGTAAGCTGTGCGTGCCTAAACACATCTACTTACAGATCCGTCAGCAGCGGGAGTCTCGTACTTGACGCCGGTGACAGCGCCGCTGGCGTCCGTAAGAAGCGCAGTCACCCGAGCCTGCTTCACCACCTTGGCCTGGGGAGCGCACGCACAGAAAGGAGGCGAAGAATCAAGGTAGGCGGGACAACAGAAGGACGCGGTAAATGAGCTCAGCGAACCACCCTCGAAACCCTCGTATAGAGAGAGCGAGAACCAGAAAAGGAGAAATCGCTAGAAATTCAGAACCCCCCCCACTCCCCTCCCCTCCCCCCTTAACCCCCCCCCTCCCTCTTCCCCTCTTCCCCCACCCACCGCCCCCCCCACAAAAGAACAAATATACGAGATGGCTGTGGGTAGCAAACGGCGTACCTTGTCGGCAGGGAGGGCCTCCACGTATTTGATAAGCACGGACATGATGCGGAAGCCGATGTTCATGGGCTTGCCGTCGGGCTTGGAGCGGTGCGTGCGCGGATGCTGTAGCGTGCCATCACGGGACGGCGGACCACGGCAAATGAGCGTGGAGTGGGCGAACGGGAGGCAGCAGAAAAGGGAGATGGGCGCAGAGGGAGTGGGGTGGGGAGGAGGGGAGGAGGGGGGAAAGGGGGGAAGGGGGGGAGGAGAAAAGGATTGGAATTGGACTGTTCGCACGCATGCATGCAGTCTGTATTCCAAGAGGATCTCTAGGATCTGGGAACATCGACATGCAGTGGGAGATAGAGACAAATGGACGTTCGGCAATTGGAGAAAATAAAAAAGAAAAAGAAAAAACAGCCAGCAAGAACAACTGTTTGTAAAGAGTCGCTCACCGAGTGGCCTCCGAGCTGCGCAATGCTGGAGAGGTCGATCTCAAAGCCCTGCAGGAAGGCGACGGCGTCGGCGCTGTTCTTCACGATCACGTCCACCAGCGCCAGGTCAGACAGGCCCTTGCCGGACCTGAAACGGGAAGGCAAGACGAGATGACGAGAAGATGAGGATGCAAGGAAGAAACCATCGAGCTGTTAGAAAATCGCGTTAAGGAGTCGGCGCTGTTCTTCACGATCACGTCCACCAACTGCAGGTCAGACAGGCCCTTGCCGGACCTGAAACGCGACGTAAGCAGGGCGAAACGCGTGACGCGCGCGATGAGGCGCGACGAGGCGACGAGGCGTCGAGGAGGAAAAGGTATATCGGAGGCCATACATTCGAGAATAATCTGGATCGTTAATGAAGCCGACAGACTGAAGTAAGGGGAAAGCAGGAGCGGCTGTAGACGAAAAGGACTCACTTCTCCGTGTCCTTGGTGAAATCCTCCAGCTTGTCCTCGATCCCAATGGCCAACTGAGGACCGCTGCGAGCAGCATTCATTCCTGGAAACGAAAGGCGTAATAAAAAACAAGCATAAGGTAATGACAGACGAGTATCCGCCATGCAGGAACGAATGCTAAACGGAACCAAAAGTTCATCACACACACTTTCGCGCATCCTTAAAATTCTGGACAGTCGACGGATAGAAGTGTGTCATAACTTGCGTTCCATTTTCCATAACCGGGTTCTTGACAGCGAATTAGGTTCACGGAGAAACTCATGGTCAAATTGATGCACTTACCAGAGCTCGCCTTGGCAGAGTTCCCGCCAAGCCTGCAAGGCAATCATAGACGAGGACAGGAAAGCAAACAAGGGGTTAAGAAAAATCGAGACTCGGAAACAAAGAGAACGCAAAAATGATGGAATCCACGGGAAACGAGAAAGATACATAGAAAACCCTAACCTTTCGCTCTTTTCAAGAACCAGGACGGATCCACCCCGCTTGACGACTTCCACGGCAGCAGACAGGCCCGCGAGGCCACCTCCCACCACCACCACGTCAGGAAAGGCCGCCATTTTCTTCACTGCAAGCAACCGAAAAACGAAGAGGAAGACGGTCGAAAGAGACGCTTAGGAATCGGGCAGGACAACGACCATGAATCATTCTCTCACGAGGACAACTTTGGATTAGGAGCATGATCGAATACGCAAGCTGTTAGTACCACATGAAGCCAGCCAACGAGAGAGGGAAGCAGATTTACATGTCCTGGCGTGTACTGACTGAGATGCGACGAACCGAAACTGAGAAGCGGTGTAAGCTAGGATCCGAGAGTGACTGAAATAAGCTGTCATGAATCGTTTCACAGGACGTAAACGGAAAGCGCGTTCCTCTCAGGAATCTTTATCACCTTCAGTTGCAGAATCCGCTTTCCCTGATTGCAAGTCAGCTGTAGTCTTGAATTGGTCACCCAACGCTTCACCAGCTGCGCTCGGATTGAGATCAACGGTAAAGGAATTGGAAGCAGGGACGTGAATGGCGATGGAGCAGCAGGCGAGGACTAGGAGCAGCAGCACGACACCCTGCACGTGGTGGGAATTGAGGAAAGACATGGGGGAATTCATCTGCCACGTGGCATCAGCAACGAGGAGAGACGCGTCGTCGTTGGTGTTGGTGTTACTGCTCGGAAGCGATGACCTCAAGGGAGCTACGCAATCTTTAGGCTGCGAGGGGGCGGAGCTTCGTCTGCTGGCCATGAAATGACGAGACGAGCAATCGACCACTTCATGCCGCATGAACAAGGCCCAATGAAGAGGGAACGTGAGGTTTCAGAGGTCGTACAATATTCAGAAAAGCTGATTCTTGAAATCGTCAGGCGATGGAGCTGTGAGCTGGAAAGCTAATCTGCTGAGAAAGGTTTCTGATGGAGCGAGCTAAGCAAGAATGAAGAAATGGGGAGGTGGAGAGCTGCTGTGAATTGGTATCATTCATCATGCTGCTGGCTAGAGATGGGGGAGGTCGAAGGAATGAAATCTCGTTACTATCACCAATGTCAACATGGCGCATGCAGCTTGCCTTTCTGCGGCTGACCTGCCCGAATAGAGCAAGTACCCGAAGATCCCTGGGTTTGCAGGGACTATCGTTCTATCCGTGAGTAACGAACAGTAGTGCCAAAGCGTTTCAATCGAACCGGACATGCAACCCAGCCAGGCCAAGAAACCATGGGGACCAGACCAGAGCCTTTTGCTCTGCAGGCTGGTGTTGGAACTGGGCAAGGACACACCCCACCCATGCCATCTGGGGATGTCCAGTTTGAACAAGCTTGTTTGTAACCCAGAGTAGGTCGACAACAAATCCCAACAATGAGCCGCGGTACCCAATCACCACTCGATGTTTACACGAATTCAGCGAACACCTGGAGGCTCTCTCGAATCTCCTTGCTCCAGCCTCCAAGATTCCTGCGAAATTGGCTGACATGGGATCGTGTGTGGACTTGCGTGGAAAGATCTCTCAGCCCACAGATTCTGGGAACAAACACCGACGTGTCCATTGCAGGCGTGCTGACAGGGTTCTGAATCAGGGCCTATTTTTCAAGGGTTGTTGCCCTAAATTTGAGTCAAATAATGAGCATTTTTTCAGTTAGCCCCTTAATAGTGCTGGTAGGGCTACAGGGGGGATCTCCTTAGGAGGAACTACTCCCTTCGAAGATTTTCGTTGTTCTACCCTCACAGCACGTACTCACACCAAGATTTTCGTCCTCCCATCACAACATGACACGTTACTCAGGGCGTGTTTCTAGTTGGTGTCATCCCAAGTTGATGTCATCCGAGATAATTGAAACCAAACCTATGCTGTAAACTTTCAGCAAAACGCATCTGATTGGTTCCAGCTTTCCCGGATGACACCAACTTGGGATGACACCACTAGAAACACGCCCTCACACCTCGTAGTCACAAACAAAGGGGAGACAACTCAGTAGATTTTCGTTCTTCTCCCCTCACAGCACGTTACTCGTACCTCGTTGTCACAAACCGAGGGGAGACAACTCCCTTAGTAGATTTTATTTCTTCGCCCCTCATAGCACGTTACTCGCACCTCGTAGTTAGGGCAAGGTTAGACCGCGTGTCAGGCAGTTGGTGCAGGTATGCCGAGCTGACCCAGGGTACAGGTCGACCTAACGGCCACTGCGTAACCCCTGACGCCAAGAGGACTGAAAGTGTCACCAGATTGCATTAGTGAGGTCGCGTGCGATACAATCGACAGCCACTGTGTACAACCACGACGATCGGGAAAGCGAGTTGCGCTGGGTGGCAGACTCCTCCTCCCCCCCCCCCCCCCAAATAGTGTACTAGTGACCTTTTTTTGTGGTGTTGCTTGGTGTACGTCGCTCCGTATGTGCAAATCACGCCACACTTTGCGCTTGTCTGTTTTGGCTCGCATAATTTCGCGCAGGTTGCTCGAGAGATTTTTGGGTTGCGTAGCAACCCTTTATAATCGGTCGGTGGACCGATTGTGGTGGACAGACATTGCATTACATATTATTCTATTCTAAATCTTATCAACATAATAACCCATATCATTTTTGGTTTCTAAAATTTATCGAGATAATAACGCATATCATTTTTTTTGTTTGTTTGTTTTTTCTAAATCTTATCGAGATAATAACCCATATCATTTTTTAGGGTCTAATGCATCCTTTACTCTAAAGATTTGTATTATATTATATTATATTATTATATTATATTATTACAAGAGTCTTTTATATTTATTAGTATTAGTATTATTTATTGCCACATACGTATTCCCGTTATTATTGTTGTTTGTAGTTTCTAGTGTATGTATTTGTCATGTTTGATCTCTTTGTCTTATTATTATTATTATTATTATTATTATTATTATTACCACTACTATTGTTCCTATTACTATTGTCATTTTTTTCTTCTATTCTTCTACTTTTCTATCCATTATTATTATTATACTACTATTGTTAGACTTAGCTAACCATTTTATCGTGCAAGACAAAAATCCATGCTATTTTATTTGATATGTCGACGATACTCATACCGACATAAAAATATAAGAATAGCATAGAGATTTGGGACAACTATCTAAGCTACCTATGAATGATGAGAGTCTCAAATCATTCACCGTCGATAATTACGGCGGAGAATGATAGAGATACTACATTACAACAGCACAGAATACATTATGGCAAACAAATATTACGAAACAGTAGTGAATGCAACGTAGCAAACGCATCAATGCTTTTGTGTTGATATGCGCGTTATGGGAAGAATATCCCAAACTGGCAACGACAATCGCAATTTGTACTGTGCACTAGGCATACGCTGCGTCGTCTCACTGCACCCACAACAATATGCACTCTCTTAATAACGCATGCCATCGAGCACATTACATAGCAAAATATTACGGGTAGGAAAACGAATGCGTTAATGCTTTCGTGCTACAATAGAGACTGACATGCACGTTATGGGAAGCGAGTCCCCAGACCGGCAACGACAATCGCAAATTGTATACCGCACTAGGCATAGTCAGCATTGTTTCCATGGGGACAATACAATACAACTAGGTATGTGCACGACGTAACAATACAATACATGTAAAACATATGCACAAGACACGGCAAACATCATTGACAACAAAAAATACGGAACAGTAGTGAATACAACGTAGCAAACGCATCAATGCTTTTGTGTTGACATGCGCGTTATGGGAAGAATATCCCAAACTGGCAACGACAATCGCAATTTGTACTGTGCACTAGGCATACGCTGCGTCGTCTCACTGCACCCACAACAATATGCACTCTCTTAATAACGCATGCCATCGAGCACATTACATAGCAAAATATTACGGGTAGGAAAACGAATGCGTCAATGCTTTCGTGCTACAATAGAGACTGACATGCACGTTATGGGAAGCGAGTCCCCAGACCGGCAACGACAATCGCAAATTGTATACCGCACTAGGCATAGTCAGCATTGTTTCCACGGGTACAATACAATACAACTAGGTATTTGCATGACGTAACAATACAATACATGTAAAACATATGCACAAGACACGGCAAACATCATTGACAACAAAAAATACGGAACAGTAGTGAATGCAACGTAGCAAACACATCAATGCTTTTGTGTTGACATGCGCGTTATGGAAAGAATATCCCAAACTGGCAACGACAATCGCAATTTGTACTGTGCACTAGGCATACGCTGCGTCGTCTCACTGCACCCACAACAAGATGCACTCTCTTAATAACGCATGCCATCGAGCACATTACATAGTACAATATTACGGGTAGGAAAACGAACGCGTCAATGCTTTCGTGCTACAATAGAGACTGACATGCACGTTATGGGAAGCGAGTTCCCAGACCGGCAACGACAATCGCAGATTGTATATTGCACTAGGCATAGTCGGCATCGTTTCCACGGGGACAATACAATACAACCAGGTATGTGCATGACGTAACAATACAATACACCATAGAACATATGCACAAGAGACGGTAAACACCATTGACAACAAAAAATACGGAACAGTAGTGAGTGCAACGAAGCAAATGCATCAATGCTTTATGTGCATGATGTGGCAATGCGGTACGTAGAAAACACAGGCATACCACGTGGTACACTGTTGACCGAATGATAGATCAACGTGATAGTACATTACAGGGATACATATGGAAAGAAATAGGTTAACACAAAAGTATGGTTATAAAAAAATGGAAAACATATGACCCATTATCTTAAGATGCTACCTTGCCCAAGTCTTAGACCCTGCACTCACCTTCCCCACCACCCCACCCATTCCATTCCTCCCCAATCATCCCCCTCCCCTCCCGTTTCCCCTGTGACGTTTCGCTGCTACTCATTGTATCAATTTCATTCAAGTTGTCCGAGTAAGTGGACGACCATCCACCTGAAAGGGATGGAAAATAGTAGAAAAAATGTGTATAGTATAATAATATGAAGATTTCAGTGGACAAATTATATGTATCGATGACTTACTCTTAGAGACGACGGTGAACCTTCGCAGGAGTTGTCGGATGTACGGCATCAGTGCTGGTACCAATCCGCTTGTTATTGTCATTTGTTGATGGGATGTCCTAAGCATTATCCAGTATAGCAAGACAGGATGTCGATGGTAAAGTTTAGTTCAAACGAAAAACAATACACGGTATGTAAATATACAAAAGCGACATGGTGATTATACTCACAGTATGAAAGGGGCGATTGAGTGAAATTATCGACCTTGTGATCCCATCCCAGATGCCACATACTTTCACCTGTGAGCATAATATGGATAACACAAGCCAAGAGAGAAGTCAAACGTGACTAAAAAATTTGTACAAAACACAAATGACGAATTTGTTGGTATGAATAACAACATGCTGTTGTGTTGTTATATTCCTTACTTGGATGAGCCATCTTCCAATAAGACCAGTCAGCATTTCGTGTTTCTGTTCGTTGTCTGCCATGCTGAACTCAATGGTACAAGCATTCGGAATAACTTGCTTGATCGCCTCCAATTCGATCTTTGCCAGTACGCCCTTGCGAATCCTGATTTTTTTGTCACGCACTGGAAAAAGAGCGCACGTATGTGTAGAGGTAAGATGTGTGTCGTATATTTAGCTGAAGAACGTGATAATTATGAGTATCATGTACAATAATTTAGGCATTAACTACTAACCTTCCTGATTGTCGAATGTGACTCCAATCTCAGTGAAACACTTGGCATCCATCTCCTCGTGTCCCGCGCAGCACTTCCATCGTTCGCTGGTGTAAAAGTAGCGAGCATTGCGACCGCAAACACCCCCCCCTTCAACTGTGTCATCATGAATACAGCGTTATCCTGCATTGACAACAAATCCGGTGATCGTGCCGCGTGTAATGGCCACATTTTCGTTCCGCCTTGCACGAGCGTGATCTTCCACGCCGGCAAGCCTGCAACGAAAATGTGCATGGTGTTCAGCTTCAATAAATGACCGCACTGTGCTAAGGATATCTGAGTAAGATTGAAAATAATAACTTACGAAGCAACTTCGCCCCAATCCTCACAAATAGGTGCAGTGTTGCTCAAGTTCGGCGCAATGCGAGCGATTGCATCATCGTCCGTGATTTCAAGGACTTGGGATCTGAAGGTCACAACAACGAGTAGAAATATATACATTACGTAAATGAAGATAAAATTGTAAAGCAAGTAAATAGTGAACACATATAAACAATGCAGGACGGAGAAAATATAAAGTATGGGATCATAAGGAGATTGGTTTAGTGACGAGACACTTGGCATTGTTAACGGACCTTGGTGACGTCAGAACTTGGCGGTTCGATATGTAGATTCCCGTAAGCCATACAAATACATGAACGAGCTGGTAGTGAATACCCTCCTCAAGCGCGTGCCTTTGCACAATCTGGTTCAGTGCAACGGCTGTTTTACCCAATGCAGTGAACCTGAATGAACCACTATGGTCCCGAATTTCGCAGATCGCTCGTTGCGTGGTGCTCGGGAAAAATGCACGCATGGTAAGCTCCACCTGGAACGATGCGGGCTATGGACTTTGGAATAGTGAGTGCCATACAAATGTAAGAAGGGTTGGACACGATTTTACTACGTACATAGATACTGCTAAATCAATGCAATTGGTTGCGAAGTGACACATCAATGATGAAATCTATACTCGTAACAATAACACAAAACACATTGATGTATGCAGAAGCCAAAGCGGTCAGTGGGGTTGGAACGAATGTCATCTAGTGAATGGTATGATCCGGCTTGGTTGCGAAAAGGTACAATTACGGCAATAATGAATTCTCTACTCTTTACGATAAATAGCATACCTGTTTCTGTCCACCAGAAACCAAAGCAGACAGCGGGGTCGGAACAAATGTGTTCTGGTTAATCGCGTGAGCCGGGTCAGTCAATCGCGCTCGTGAGACGCGATGGACCCATACAAGTTGTCCCTCAGAGCCTCTCATGCTGTACCTGTTATATGTATTTGCCAACGCACCATATGCGGAAAATAGGGAAAACAACGCATGGAACGATTCGGTTTAGCACATTTGTATGCGAACCTAATAACATGATACATTCGTTACGTTATTGCGGACAAGCACAGCGATGTTTTGATACGAAGTTCGCAGTATGATAACATATAAATGGCATGATAACGAGTATGAGAAGGATAATATATGTACACTTTAATATCCAATATGCAAGTATATTATTGGAAATGAGTATACTACGTAGACTTACAAACTTCACAAGAACAATACGTACTTCATGTCTTTGATTTTGGAGGAATCGACGTAGAGGAAGTCATACGTCTTTCCCAAAGTGAACTCCTTGGCGGTACTAGAGCATTTTTCTGTGCTCCAGACTGGCTTTCCCCATAAAAGCAGCTCCATTACATCGCCATTGCGGTCCGCAAGAATAATCTTGTTGGGAGATCGAACTCCATCTTGTAGCTCCTTATCAGTGTGGTTGCGTATTTCGACGACCATTGCACGGACCATAAACTCATCAGCCGGATGCTTTTTTATGAGAGCATTAAGGTCGGCAAAAAGTATAATGCCAGGATTCTGCATTTTGCACATAGGAAATTGAGTGTTTGGGTGTTAGCATATAGGAGATCGAGGCACTCATGCGTGCCAATACTTAGGGGAAAATAGTTGGATGAACAATAGAAATATCAAATATCTAGTATATACCTCAGACGCCAGACAGTATGGCCACGGAAGAGGATCTGCAAAATCAATTGAATGTAGGCGGTAAATGAAGCTAGAGAGAATGGCGTGTTACTTAATTACAACATAGATAGGAAAGTGATCGCTGTAATAGGTCTCACCGACGAATACATCGACGCTATATTTAGATTGGTTAATCCAAACATGGTCTATACACGTTCCTCGTATGGTCGTAGACGATTTA